TCTAATCAGTTTTTGCTCGAGAAGCTGAGGTTTGATAGAATTCCCAGCTCACTTGGGTTTTCGCGAGTTCTTTGTCGGGACATTTCCTAGTCATAGGATACACCTCTACGTGGTGACTAGGACAAGTAAGCTACTTTTTTTTTTCAGCTGAAACTAAGTATCCTTTAACACGAAAAAAATTATATCGATCATAGTTGTAAAAATTATATAGTCGAAACTAAAAAAAAGTTATAGTTATATAATAGAATATAGAAAAATTATGTATATGTATATTTTTAATATTTTTAATTCAAAGTAAATAAAGCGTTTTTTTGTATTAATTAAAATTTTTCATTGAAATAACCTATTAATAATAATAGTAATATAATTTTTACGGGAGTATCATACTTATTATAAAAAAAAAAAAAAGATTTGTATAGTGAGCGACTATAAAGAAAGTCTTTAGATCCAATATAGAATATAAAGCATGTGAAATTTGACTCGACGATAATAATTTGTTTTTGCATTATCTAATAACAATGTTAAATTAGCTTTCCAGCAACTTGAATTGTGAATTTTCTTAAGTTTAGCGATTATGTTACGAATTGTTTGTGGAAGTAGTATGAAAATATAAAAATGAATAACATTAAACTGGCTGTCGCCTAAATTAATTTAATGTTATAAAATTTTGGTTCTTAAATTGAAATACAAAAAAAGTTTCTTGCTACAAGACTTCTAGCTAACCTCACTATGATAATCGCTCATTTAGTACGATTACTTCTTTTATTACTGTCTATTTGCGCAAAACCGACGAATTTTTTTTTTTTTGCTATCCTCATTATAGACCAACCCTTCGGACCTTTAAAAGTAACAAACTTTTAGTATTTCGTGAAATTTTATAGCTGTATAATAATAAATTGTCCATTATCAAAATTAATGATTTGAACCGTTTAACCATATAAAAGTTCATAACTTCGGGCTGAATTATATTGATTATGGGGCAAAATTATGTTCACAGAATTAAACGATTAACAAGATTAAACGATCATTATTACAGTATTATTACCGTTGACACAGCTGTTATTGCTGCTATTATCGTTGACACGGGCTGTTATAACCGTTATCTGTTATTATTATTATCATTAAAATCAATAACGATAACATTTGATCTACGTAAAATTAACAACCAATCAGATGAATTTTATTTACAACCAATAATCAATAATGCTCCTATTAAGAAAAGAAAATTAACATTCTTTGCAAGTGCAACAATAGGCCTCATGGCTGCCAAAGAAGATATAATTAACGCAAAGGTTGCTCTCGACAATAGATTTTTAGGTCTGCTTTTTCGACAAGGTGCGGACCGCGGCCAAGATCGCTATAAAGAAGTAATACCCGAGACTGTTCCTTTTAGGCAAGATAATATTATTTCACTTCCACCGCGTTTGCGCGAAATTGTTGAAAGTATCCTTGAAATAACAAATAAAATTTGTAAAGCTGTTACGTGATACTTTTCAATGTTATAGTTTGATAACACTTCAAACATATAGGTTTCCTTATTACATATTTAAAAAAAATAGGCACTACACACGGAATTCACGTCCTTTTAGGCTGTTTACCCTATATAAACGCGGTTTATTTCGTGGTGAACGATAACTTATTCATTTGGGAATACGATAAAGGGTAAATTATTCCTTTTTGATTCTCCCATTTTTTGTCTTTATACGTCTTTACCCTCAATATTGCACATATTATTCTTTATGTTATTTTATCATCAATCTTCATTAACATCGGCTTAAAAATTTTTTTATCATTCAACTAGAAATCACGATAATGCTATTGCACACATTGATGTACATCCATTACAAGATCAGATCATAAAAAGTGTAGGACTTGTTAAACCAAGAGCTGGTACGTGATTCTTTTTCAAATTTATCAAGACTTTGATTTTTAACTTATTTGGTAATAACTTTAAAATTTTTCTAGGTCGTTTTATTGATAATGCTCATTATGTTCTAGTTATTGCTACGGATAAAGCGATTTACTTGTTTGGTTTCAGTTCAACTCCTGATGGCATAGTTTTTCACGATATGTCATCAGACAGATATCGAACTGATTATAGTAAAAAAGAAATTGGTTCTATAACCGGTACAGAGGACGGTCGTATTTTTCTAATAGATGCTGGTGAACTCTGTGAACTTGTTTATGAGGTAGTTTCAAATTTCATGGATTTCAAGATTCAATGATTATTAATTTACATTATCGTAATATTTTAAATATTTTTATTTAGGATGAAGGTTGGTTTTCAAAACCATGTAGATTAGAAATTCATTCACAAAGCACTGTCAGTCAACATTTGAGATGGATTTGGCAAACGTCCTGTAAGAGCATGTAATTTATTATTTTATGAGATTTTTTATGATTTATTTTCTTTTAATAATGATAATAATTTCGTTAACCTTCATATTATAATGTTTAAAGCGGACTTCAAATCTATCGCAATTGACGATACGCGACATATGTTATACGTTATGTCTGCTTATCGCATTGAGGTATAACGATTAATAATATTTTTATGATGAATAATTATGTATAGTTGTAAAATTTTATTTAATTTGGTTAATTTTATTGTATTTATTATAGGCATTTTATATACAAAAAGATGCTGCATTGAAATTAATAGGAACATATTCAATTAATGATGATAAATCGATGATGCTTAAAGGACATTTGGTATCAATACATCCAATATTGAATACTGATTCTCCCTATTTCTGGCTTCTCGCGGTGACAAATACGGGTAAAAAAAAATTAATTATAGTTTGACGTATTAGGAAAAAAGATAGAAATCATTGTTTAATGGATTTAATATAGGACATCGTGGATATTTTACCTGTTATATTGGAAATAGAGGGTATAATTGGTGGCTGTATTCGGAAACGCCTGCGATGCTAAAAACAAAAGAACCTAATGGTTTATATATACTTGAAGTGCATGATCCGCCACCTCAAAATCAGCCACCCATACCTCAGCAAACTAGACTTGAATATCAGAAATTCCGTTATTTTCATGGTATATTCTTTGCACAACGTAGAGAGGGTGGTATAGAAATGCTGTCTACTACAAACCCCAATTATGGCTTAATGTTTCGTAGATTTATTCAAGTATGTCATCTCTAATGATAATTAATGTTTTATATCTTAAAATTTTAAGTTACAATTGTTTTATATATTAGAACCAAGAACCGATTTTCTCTGAGCATCATTATACTGCACCTCTTCCAAGTATCTTTGATATTCAAGAAATTTATGATCCATTATACGACTCTAAAAAATCTGATGAATATTCAAATGAATTGATAAATCAGTTTAATGCTCCACAACGAAAATTCATTTTATATACTTTAAGTGGTAATTTATTTTTATTACAGATTTATTTAACAAAAAAGGATTTAGGCATGTAATTTTGCAAGATGTTCTAATTATTAATTAGAGTTTGGGTTAATTTTCAATAGGGATTGTTATTTGGACAAAACAACGACCTGTTGATTACTTGGAAAATATGCTAAAAAAAAGTCATAATAGAGAGGCGTTAAAATCCTTCATTGAAAAGTATGGACTTTTCATTACTTATGAATTGAAAAATTTTTGCCTTCATATTTAGTCATAACTGTTATCTTTTTCTAGCTATGGACCTGAACAAACTACGGCGATGTGTTTATTAATTGCAAGTAATGAAAGTCATGCATTTATGCAAACTTTTGCAGGTAAATCAATCAATTATATCCGTAAAGAATTAACTACTCTTTAAATTCTAAGTAAAAAGTATTTATATAAAAATTTTATCTAGCCTCCTATACTACGATATATGAAGGATTTGCTTTTTGCTTAGCGAGGATACTTCGTCCCGTTTGGCGTCAAAAAATTCTTAAAATAAGGTCTATATACTATATATTTTTGATCCTTAAATTTGTGCTTGCACAACAATAATAAGTTGCCATTCGTGATCGGATAGTTTTTTCTCCCAAATACCTATAGCTTAAGGCTTGCTAAAATATCGATACAATTTCACATACAGTCCTAGTAATACCAATCTAGATAGGCGAGATACGAATATCCCCGAGCCAATACTTAAATGCGTAGTCACTAAGTTAACGAAATTAAAAGCGTTTTGTGACAGGTAATGAATGATTTGCTAGCTTACCTAATGTCTAATATGCTATGTACTTTGTTAGGTTTTTAAGCATAATTACATTTTTAATAGACACCCCATGTTAAAGTCGCCTCCACAAATTCTCGGCGATACTTCATCTGTATGACAAGTATTCAATATTGCTTGCATAGTTATATATATTACTATATAATAAGTATTTATAATTTTTAGGCACAGAGCGCATCATTAAGTTCTTTATACGATTTGCTTGTTACGCTCTCTGATGCAATAGGTTTCATATTGCTTATGATTGAATATAATTTACCTGAAACTATAGCAAAGTAAGTGTTATTCATACACATATTGAGGGGAAAATTTTACTCTAAAATATTATTCTTACAACTTCAAAAAACGATACCCATGTTATCTAGTATTTCCAAGAGTTCACAACAAGCCGTCTTTCAATCGACTTACGAACAATTAGTTACTGTTCAACAGGTTAGAAGCAGTTGGCATGATCTGGTACTTGCGATAATCAAAAGAGAAAGCGGACCACGAGTAAATATAATTAATTGTTTAAAAATTATTGACTACAGAGTGATTATGTGTCATGTTAATAATCTCTTTTAACATATTTAGGTTGATAATCTTAGTCGCAATTTAGAATTACGTTGTCCTACTTTTTGTAATGCGGCCGAAACAAAAATGTACCAGGTATTTCCATTAATATTAGAAATGACAAATATTACGTAATATTTCTTATTACAAGTTTATCCTCAGGTAAGGTATTTTAATTACCAATCAAATTCCATTTAGAATACAAGATACCTCTAATACCCAAGATATTATGTAATATTTGTCATAACACTTTTTTGTATGAAAAATTTTAATCCACGATTCACAAATAAGTGACACATTCTTGTTTACTATAGGGCTATGAAGCACTACAGAGAGCTAAGAATGAAGACGAACATACGACCAAAGAAGCGTTGCGGAATTCACTCAAGTATGTAATTTTATAATAAAATTTCGGGATTATTTTCATAGTAATAATTTTATGGTATTAATTTAATATTAATTTTCTATTTGAAAGCATATTTTGTGAGTGTATCAACATTTTAACATACGGAACTTTAAATAATCTGTGCCAAGATTACAAGAATTTTGGATTTTATGAAGGTATATAACTTTTATAAAAATCTCAAATATTACTTTAGGTTTTTGATGATGTTAAATATTTTTTACTAGGGGCAATTGAGCTTCTATTGAAAGCAGCACAGAGCTTTGATCCAATACCTGAAAAGCGTAACTCGATCTTAGATCTTGTCATTGATACTTTACGGGACGCCGGCGTTTTTGCTGATGGAATTCAACGTATGTATCCAAATATTTTATAATTTATATAATCGTAAGAAATGATCGTGAACTTATTTAGCATTCATTCATGCAGGTCATACGCAATCGTTTAGCCCGGTGCTTCAGAAAGCTCTCAATTTGGGAACTTCGTTAAACGATAGAACTTTCCTTTTCGCAGTCTATGACGAATTTTTAGGCGCAGACTCAATTCCACAATTATTTCAGGTAGTAATAATTCATTTACAGAATTAAAAGTTATTTAAAAGTTATTTAATGGATCAATAAACTACCAATTATTTTATAGCCACCTGCACCATATCTCGAGGAATATTTGAATTCATCTACCGATCTTACATCACCAATTACAAGAAAAAAATTGGATTTATACTGTGATTTCTGTGTTACACATCGTCAGTACCTCAAAGCTGCCAAAGTCAAAGAATGTATAGCTAAGAATTCTGCGTATGTATATCTTTTGTCTGAGTACAGGAATAATAATTAAATGTTATACTTTTTATTTTATTCAAATATATTTTTATTCATAGAAGTGGTATCAACTTGCAAGAACGGTTGCATTATTTAAGTCATGCTGTAGGTCAGGCTGAAAGTGCAAAGGAATTGAGCGAAACCAGAGATGTAATTGAAGCATTGCATAAATACCGCAGTGACCTGGAAGTCTGTATTTACTTTTTTTTTTTTTTTTTTTTAGCTTAAAGTGTTTTTCATGCATATGTATTAAATTCTACATTTGGCATGAATCTAGCTTGCTCAAATTCAATTTGAAATTTATCGGGAGATAGATAACATTCCTGATATCAAATATAATAGTATAGCTGCATCAAAAGGAAAACCCGATAAAGGAACGTTGCTTGCACGCCTCAGTCAACAACTCTTTGACGCACAAGATGTATGAGAAGCTGTTATATTATTTAATGTTATTAAATTTCATTTTTAGTTACTTATATCAAATATTATTAGCTTTTGAGAGATTTTGTGATCCCGTTTGATTTGGTCGAAAGAGAACTCTCTTTAGTACATGCTGTAGAAATTATACCTAGTCGCGAAGATTTAAATCAAATTTGGAAAAAAATAATACAAAAAGGTATACATTTTAGGTATCGAGACATTTCTAGTTATAAATAATTTAGTTAATCGTGTATTCTTTTCTTATGAAGCTAGGAAAAGAGCGCAAGATTCTGGATCGCTTCAACCAATAGCTGAGGTAGTGATAGAATCTGGACGAAAATATTATCCGCATGATCTGCGGGTATTTCCGATGGGTAGTTATTTGGTTTGATGATTTTTTTTAATTATACATAAAATTTAAGCTCATGCTATAACGACTTTAACAATAGATGCAATCGTTAGTGAAATAGCGACGTATTTAATCCCAAGACGTATTGATGATCCTGGCTGTATTGCGAAAATTTTGAAGCAAGCGAATGTCGCGTTTTGTGATATCTTTAATACGTTTCATAACCTCTTTGCATTTAGAGTAAGTTGCTGTGATTTATGTCATTAGTTTACATTGATTTTATAACATATTAAGATACAATGATAATTATGATGTTTAGATGACACCATTTAATACACGAGAGGGAATATGTTTATTATTAAAAGAATTAGTGTTTATTTTAAACCAATGGATGAAATCTGTTGAAGAACGGTAATTTAATTCATCTTTATTTTGCTCTTCCTTCTCGGCATTCTTTATATCACTATATAAATTTCTTATTAATTATTTAATATAGCTATGATATTGAACCAAGAAGCATCCATGGAATGGTATCACAATACTTGACAGCAATAGATCATAACTCACTTGGGCAAAGCTTTTCACACGAATTTTTAGAAATTCAAAGGAAACTTGAAACATTTTCAACAATCATGGAGTATTAAGTTATATGTAGTATTAATCAGAGTTTTTCTTTGCAGTTGTGTATAATATTATCATCTTGGTCAGTGCTTGAAATTTTGAACTATAAATTGAACACTAACATAAGTCGTTTTGACAATTCAAGTTGAGCATCATTTTAATATCAAACGTTATCATTGTTATATATGATATCTCAATCGTTTCATTAATTGTATTTGAATTTTACATCGTTTAAAACTATGCCGAACCATTTTCATTGCTCGAGGTTGGAGCGTCACTAAGTTCGCTGTCTGAAATCCCGTTCCCTTCGTTGTTGTTGCCATTATGAATTGGAGAATTGTTATCGCTATCATCACTATTAACACCATTTTCTTCTACTGAGTCAAGATCATCGGTATTACTTTCACTCGTATCTTGGCCACTTTCGGAAATCATATCGAGATCATCATTACTTTGATCATCATTATTTTGACGACCAATATCAGCTCCATTTTTTTCACAATTATCATCACTCGATTCATCATCACTATTAGCATCATTTAATGCCTTAGTGGCCTCGTGTTGTTTCATAGCATCATTATATGCTTTCAGAGCCTTTTCGAATTTACAAGTCTGTGGAACAACACCTAGACAATTTGAAGTCATTTAGCATAAAGGTTTAAAAATTAGTCTCCTTGATTATATATATTTACTTTGCAAAAACTCCAGATGTCTTTGATCCTTTACTGCGTTAGCTTCAGTAGAAATTTGTTCGAAAGTGAACGTTACATCGATATGTTAATATATATATATATATTAAAAAAGAATAAAAATAAATAAACGGTTTAATTCTAACCCAAATCTCGATAAAGAATGTTTTTTCGCCTTTCAGTATTTGCTTTTTCTAAACCTTGTTTGGCAAAATGTCCTACAAAAAGCTCCTGTCATAAGATAAAATATATTACTAATAAGGTAGAAATTTGTCAAAGTTGAACTTTTTTTGAAAGCCAATCTAAATTACCGCTGCAACGGCAATTACAAATGTCGCGTCAGCAGAGCACATCGTTATTTCGTCATCTTCTTTAATGATACGTTTCACGCGAGCAATAGGTAAAACGGTGGTTCCCGTTATTAGGCTCGTCGGATTTGAAGTTGAAGATCCAGATTTATTTTTGACAGCCATATATTAAAAAGAGCGAGAATGACAAGCCAAAACAACTCTAGTAACGAGACTGCAAAATAAAACCGAAGCTCGGACCGGTAATACAAACTGTCAATTAACATTCAGAAAGTTACCTTATCTTAAAACTGTATAAGGCACGTGGTAACATGCCGATCGATCAGGAATTGATAAATTATCGTTTTTTTCATCTGTTTCATCCGTGGTAATAATGGATAAAACGAAAGCTGTCAAAATTGCCGTCATTGGCGGCAGTGGACTTTATAAATTTGACCACTTAACTCCGATAAAAGAGATTTATCCAGAGACTGTAAGTATTACTGATTATTTCTACCAAAACTCTGAATAATTGTACTCACAACTACCGAAATTACATAATTAAATAAGCCATGGGGTTATCCGAGCAGTAAAATTGTCATAGTTGAAGACTCCCGAGGTTCTCAAATCGCTTTTCTTTCTCGACATGGTGCTGGACATAAATACAATCCTTCTGAAGTGCCATCAAGAGCAAACATAGCTGCCTTAAAACACATTGGCGTGGAAGTTATTATCGCCTTTTCAGCTGTTGGATCTCTTCGAGAAGAAATAAAGCATCAAGATTTTGTCCTTCCAGATCAGATTATAGATCGAACAAAAGGAATTCGACCTTCTACTTATTTTGAAAGCGGAATCGTAGCTCACACGACATTTGCAGATCCCTTCTGCTCATCACTTGCTGAAATTATTTATTCGCATCGACATTGTCTTGGAACAAACATCACTTTACATCATAATAAAACGCTTGTATGTATAGAAGGACCTGCGTTTAGTACAAGAGCTGAATCTCACTTATATCGAAGTTGGGGATGTGACGTTATTAATATGTCTGCATTACCCGAAGCAAAATTAGCAAAAGAAGCTGAAATTTCTTATCAAATGATATGTATGTCGACTGATTATGATTGTTGGAAGCAAGATGAAGAATCTGTTTCTGTTGAAGTGGTAGTTTCAAATTTAAATAAAAATGCCGAAAATGCGAAAAAATTATTTGAAGAGATATTGCCAGATTTAGAGAAGGCGTTGGAGGAAGGAAAATTTGAGGAAATTAAAGGAGTTATGAAAAGCTCTTGCATTACCAGAAAAGATGTTAGACATGAAGATACTATTAAAAAGCTAGACTACATTTTACCTGGCTATTTTAATTAGCATTTTATTATTTTTATTATTTAAAAATATTATTATTTGAGAGTTATACGTATTAAATAATATTATTATACATTTGACCCTATCATATTAATGACTGGTAACCAATTTTGTAAATGCACCTTAACATATTTAAGAAAAAAAAAATCAGGACGTTATTTGCGGTCTTCCTGTAAGTTTATTTTGACAATTTCAGTCATCTTATATAGCAAAACTAAATTTTGAGAATAGCAGATTATTAAACCTACCACCATGATTATGTGGTATCCAAATTGCGTTTTTATCTATAGATTAAATATAAATTATAGCATAATTAGTCAAACGATAAAAAAAGTTATTTACTGATAAATCGAACATACCGGTGGATTTGTAAATATTGGTTTGTCTTTATTTATATCATAATAGTAAGAATCGAAGATTAGCTTGAATATGATAACTGTAACTAGTTGCGCATAAAAGGTCATGAAATAGTTACCTAATGAACTTGGTTGTAATGCGAATGCAGCCTCTTGGAATGCGCCTACCATTGACCCACGGACCATCCATCCAAGACTACCTATATATTTGAGTCATTAAATGTCGAATAAAAAGAGTTACCAAAACTCAATAAATAAAAAGTTATAATTTATAAAATTCGTTACCTCCTTGCTTTGCTTTATCTTCACTATATTCCTCTGCCACCTATTTGACTAAATTAATTAATATAAGCTAGTCTTCGATTAATTTTACCGTAAATTCTCAAAATAACGTCATCTACACGTTATTTCGAGATAAAAGAGTCAATTTCAAAATCTATATTATAAATCCATTGATATGTTATATGAGGTGCGCGTAATTTCGGGACATGCATAGAGGCACAAACAACTGCTATTTCGAGAATTTACGGTACAGATTTAGAACTTGCCTTGTCAAATCGAACGTTATCCACAGTTAATTTTTCAAGGGCCTCCATGACCTTTGAAAATAAGAACCGATTAGAGATTAATTATCAAAAAGCATTATGTAATATCGGATCACACTATATTAAATTACCTTGGAGTGTTTCTCACATAAAATATGTCTAACCTATATTGGCATATTGTCAGGTATCAGATTTTAAACACAGCTTTAGAATAAAATATAAAACATACCTTTACACTGTTGGCTGCTTTTAGTTTCCCAGTCTTCCCGGAATTTGATTCCCCATTATCTAAAATAAGCCTAATTGCTTAATTTTAACATTCATAAAGATTATCATATAGTATAAACCTACCATTATCTGCAGTTTTCTTGTTAGCTTTGCCTTTGCCAGCACTTCCTGAACTATTTTTAGTCTTACCCATATCTAAATCGATATACGACTTTTTGAAGTTCCTACGTACAGTACGTAAACTTATCTGTTATCGAATCGAAATTTTAGATCTGTAGATCTGTTACCTGTATTACTGTATTACGTAAATATACCATATCAGATATTTATACTGTATATTTTTGTGAATGCTGACTCCATCTTTTTTTTTTCATTACGTATTTTTCTCACTTCAAACCTTTCGATAATTAAAATGCCGGTCAAAAGAAACTTCAAACAAGCTGAACCAAAAAATTTTGAAGTACCAGATAACGTGCCAGTAAAAAAAAATAAACAGGATTTGAACTGGGAGGTCGAGATTTTTCTTCAGTTATTACCTTTCACTTTACCGGAACCTGACGCCTCCCATAGAATCATGGTTTTGAAAGATTTGAAAGAAGACAAGGTATCCAAACTTGACGCCACACACTCAGTCGACCCCTACGACAGTGTCTATGAAGCAGACGTCTCTTCCACGTCTTCAGACGAAGATTCAGATTCTTTAGGTGGCGAACATTTGGACTTTGAAAGTGCAGAAGAAAGTGACTATGAAATAATTGTTCCGAAGAAGAAACGCTGTGGAGCTATGTGGAGTTCTCAATGTCGTCGTGCTGGTCGTTGTATTTGCGCAGACGACACTTCGGATTATAACGATTAACACGAAAAAAAAAAGCGGTGAAATTATGAAGCTGGCGGCTATATACTTTAACTATTGTTAGACATTTTATGTCCGTAACGAACAAAGGCAGCTAGGGATGTTGACAGAGTGCTCCAGGGTGGTGTAGTGCATACTCTGGCAGAGTATTCCTTAACACCACACCACACTGGACTATTCTACTATAGTATGCTTCGAAGTGTAACCCAGAGTATAACCCGGAATACTGTTATAATTTACCGTAAACGATGAGAAGAAAAATATATTGTACTAGCATTCTTGCACATCCTTACGGACGTGCAGTAGTCTACAAATCAATGAACAAAAAGAAAGAAATTGAATGGAAAGAAACAGTTTATTTCAATTATCTTAATAAATAATCATTGAATGATATAGAATTAACTTATTAGTTTAAAAAACCCTATTTCTGTTTTGAATTCAAAACCAGCAAAATAAGAGTATTTTTTGACGATATATTATAAACATATATAAACATACATAATTTATAGATCACTTATTTCAGTATTTCGAACCAAAATAAACAAATTAATTTTATTTGAAATCAGGAATCTGTCATTAATTCTGAATCACTCTATTGTACTCACCAACCGATTTAAAGGCAGTTCGCTAAAGAAGTGTGAACGTGATTTCATGATGACAGCAAATATTTCTAATTTTACATTGCCTATCGAATATAATAATGACTATATTTATTTGAAATCTTTAAATTGTCTAAAAATCAAACCAATCTCAGAGGTCACACTTTTTTGCAAACCACCATAACTTTTTTTATCGTTTAGGGTGTGATTCGCAATGGATTTTAAATTTCATCAAATCAGAGTAGCCCTATAAAAAAAAAAGGTTCAGGTTTTAAATGATACAGTCTTCAAATGTTCGCATTTAAGTACTGCTAAAAGAAAACTGGGCTTTGAGCTTTTGAGTTCGACTTAACGGACTCAGCTCCTGAAAAATTAGATTATTCCGTTAAGTTATAAACTCGGCTTTCTCTTAATGTCATGATGTTGCTCACATGTTTATGTTCATGTGCTTGTATAAGTGATATGCTTTTACGCAAACAGACACTTTAGTATGTAGTGTGGATATAATAGTGATATAATACTAGTATAATACTCCAGAGTATAACCCACTTTGTATTAATAGCATTACTCCAAATATTTACTCCTATTAATAATATCTTAATAATCTGGGGTGGTGTTATGTCTAAACCACATCGGTATGGAGTGGGTTATACTCCACAGTTACTCCTGAGTACTCTACCCCCTACGCTTGGTAGTACACCCTTAGTAGGTTTTGAACTCTGGGCTCTTGACAGAAAAGCGGTCTATTTTACTTAAAGCGTTTAACATGATTTTTATCATTGTTTGCGTTTGTAGTTTTATTACGAAAATTTTAATAAAATTTAATGCGCTTTGCCATCAGGTACCGGCAAAAATTTGATATGATTTCCAAAATTTCTATATATTCAGTCCCTATATACAGTATATTTACACAATACACAAATTTGATTGGAACCTACGAAAATTTTCATTAGATTTACAATTATCGAGTTTTCCACATATTGACACAAGTAAAATTAAGTTCAATAGGGATGTAATAGACACCAATAGACATCCCTATTGCTGCTGCATTGTTATCTTATCAATAATATTATTCGATTGTTGACTATTATATCCTATTGACCTCTTTTGAAGCCAAAATTTAGCAGCAATAAGGATTCTTATTGGTAGCTTATTGCATCCCTACTGAACTTAATTTATTTGTTGAATAAAATTGAATGGATAAAATTATTTTATAATAAAAATTTGTGAATTAATGCTTACTAGAAGTGAAATTTATCAGGTACGTTATTTCTCAAAAACGGCTTTAATGATTTAAATATTATGTACAAATATCAATGTTCTAAAAGAATCTCTATATAAACCTAACTCTAATCCTAAAGTCTAAGTTTGCCTTCAATGTTTGAAATAAAAAATTTTATGAAAAAAATATATATATTGATGAATTGAGTATTATATACATATGAGCGCTGTTCAATAGAAAAGGGGGAGATCTCCTTTTTAAATCTGGTCAATTTGACCAGAATTAAAAAGGAGATCTCCCCCTTTCTACTGAATAGCCCCCATATATGGATAAGTTAAACGTGATCAACGTGAAAGATTTTAGATTAAAACGTGACGTAATAATTAAATCTAGATCTGTATTACGAAATCATCTGGATCTGGTAATTTATAATAACGAACTTCAGTTCATTCTAATATACTAATAAATAAACTAAATAAAAAAAAAAGATGTGTACCTTCATGATTAATCACAATACGGTAGAATCATTTCAAAATCTTTCGCTCCTTTAACATTTTTTGTAAGTCATCATGAACTGATTCAATATCTGGACGATTACTTGGATCAGTATCCCAACATCTAATATAAAGCTTAGTGTAATCCTGAGGAGTTCCAGAAATTGTTTCTTCTCTTTTGCCTTGATTAATAAGTAAAGCAACACGCCACTCACAGCATTGGTCTTCGAACGGTCGATGGCCACTAGTTAATTCCCAAAATAACATGCCCAAACTGTAGACGTCTGTTTCCTTACAATAATTAGGTTTATCATGTAATTCGGGAGCTAAAAAAGGAATCGCACCAACGGGACTATTATGAATATCTGTTTGTATATTAGCACTTTTGGCATTTCCGAAATCAATTATTTTTGCATCCCCATTAATAATAACGATGTTCTTATCATGCTAACAAATTTTTAGTAAGCATAAAAAAATTGATTCAAATATTAACAAAAGCCTTATTATCTAAATATTCCTTACCAGATCTCCATGAACAATTCCTTCTTTATGCAAACAACGCAAACCATTTGCGATTTGATAAGCTAGGTTTAATCTTTGATTCCAGTCCAAAGAATGATTATTTTCTCTAAGATAATTTTGTAAATCCCCACCATCTGCATATTCTATTATAAGGAAATATCTATTGTTTGTATCATCTACGTATTGAGAAATTAGTGTTAACAATTTAAATGCTATCACAAGAAAATTAAGTTCAATAGGGATGGTCAATAGGATATCAATAGTCAACAATCGGAATAATATTATCAATAAGATATCATACAGTAGGATAATATTATATGATTCAGATTGTTGACTATTGATATCCTATTGACCTCTTTTGGTGCATCCCTATTGAACTTAATGTGTATAATAATAATAATAATAATATAAAAGAATACCTTTACTGATTCCCCAAAAATGAATTATATTCTCACAAAAATCTAGCTTAACATGTATTGTCAATTCATGCATAAATGCAGAATATTGTTGTACATCGTTTAATGCCTTACAAGCAACATATTTATGTGTTCTTGTCCAATAGGCTTTTTTTATTAAACCTAAGTAAAAAATTAAATAGACATATATTGATTAAATGTTGACTGCATTCAAAAGAGCTGCTCGTCAGCAAAGTAGCTTACACTCCCTAGAAGAAATTTTTGAGCTCGGAGCTAAAAGTAAAAATTTTTCTACGTTCCCAAAAACGTGATCGAACGATTTTCTGCGGCAGTATTTAAATTAAATATCATCACAAAAAGTTGATTTCTAGGAAGCGTGCAAAATGTGAAATAGAATAACTTAGTAGTGCCATCAAATTTAAAATATTGACTCCAATTTTTTCGGATATACTGATACAAAATTCTTTAAAAAGTTAATTTTTCATAAACTTTGGTCGAAGTTTTCTCGATAACTAAGTTTTGTAAAAATAATTCTATTTAAATTTGGTCAGGAAAAATTTTGAACGTCTTCAAAAACAACAGCATGGGTTTTCTAAAACTTTAAACAAAGTTACGATAAAATACGATCAAGATTTTTTGGGATTATTCTATAAATGCAAATAATAATAATAATAATATTATTATTATTATTATATTTAAAAAAAAAAAAAAAACTATAATAGCTATCAAGAAAACTTTGATTTTTGGTGGCGCCTCTAGGTTATTTTAGTCATGTGATAATTGCATACCAGCCGCAACTTCACCTACAAAGGGACAAAGCCACAATTACCACTAAAAGTGACTATATAGAGTTCACACGAGTACTACGAGCCAGAGCACTATGCTAACATACCAAAACTTCCTTCTCCAATTTTTGACATATCGTCTAATTCATTCCATGGTACCACTCTTGAATTTGTTTCTAAAATATGAGATGCGATCAATTTGACGATAACTTGTTCGTGCGATTTATGTTGCAAAGCTATTTTATTGTTAAAAGTTAAAAATAGTCATTGTATTGAACAATAAGAAACATAGCAGAATTAATTTAATCCTACCACTGTCAATGATTTTAATAAATTTTCTCTGAATTTCTTCGTGGGTAGGTTCATCAAGTTTTTCTGATAAAAGTTTTTCTAACACGCATATTATCAATAAAAGAAGATGCAACAGGATTATCGTTATCAGATCGCCAAATCCCTATAAAGATGGTAACATGACGATAATATTAAAATCTCGTGGTTATAAAAAATAAACCTCTGGAATAATAAAAAGCATACTTGAACAGAAGCAAAATACAATAAAAAACGGTTCATGATGTTTCTGCCGAAGAGGTTCTAAGGAATGGGAACATTAACATAATAAATTTTAGGCCAAATATCTAGTATAGTCGGCTTTATTATACTTCTAAGTCGGTTAAGACAGTCGCGACTAAATCGGCTTAGACAGCTTAATCAGCTAGCGAAGATACTATCATAACGAATTTGTTTTTAAAAAGTTATAGTCAACTATTCTAGACAAACCTTTTTATAGAGTTCGGCCTAGAAATATAGAAACTACTTAAAACTATTCTAAAGAAGCTTTATTAAAGGCTCAAATTTTTGTTAAGAAACTGAAACGAAAATAGTCCAGTGAGAGAAATTAATAAATATTTCGGAGAGCATTCTTGAAAAAAGCTATTTATACTTTTGATAGTACAAATTATTAAAACATTAGTGAACTTTCTCTATTATTGGTCACGTTGTTGATAACTGAATATTCACGAGATATAACAGTGACCCTTACCATAATATCAACGATTGTTGTTAATAGCATGACCCCAATAAAATGGTTATTGTATATTTCCGAGTAATACCTAGCATTTTAATGCATCTTGTTGTCATTTTTAAACGTGATACACAAATTTCGCTCACCTCTGATAGGAGGTGAGCAAACTTTGTGTATCACAATAATTAGTAATTAGTAATACTTATTCCAATTTTCTCGCATGTTCTGGCAATTACTGTGTGAGCAGTGAAACAAAGCCGATAAAATTTATTGGAAACACCTTCGTATTCGTACTACAATTTGGTATATTCGAAACAAGGATTATTCTTTTTTTGGCGAAAAAGGGTCCTAAGCCCGACTGTGCAAAACAAGTAGAAGAGCGAAGAATACAAAAGACGGATGTTAAGAAAAAAAAAAAAACAGGTATTAAATTGCCTGATTTTAAGTTATTTTTATTAAAATTTAACATTCAAAAAGTACGACTTGTAGGTTTTCCCTTCATATGATATATCGATATGTACGTACGTGCAAATTCATAAGTGTCCAAAACTATGTGATATAAATTATCACATGGTTTGGGCCAGTGATGGGAAATGACTGGTCATTTGACTTGAAATGACCAAATGACCAAAATAATGACCAAGTCATTTGGTCATTTAAATCTAGTCTTTTAGAAGTTACACAAACCAAAATTAGCAAATATGATTGGTCTACATAACTTATAAAAAGCATAATTTTTATTAAACAAGTTATTAAATTATTATTTACTACATATGGTTACCAGATTGGCAAGTAAATTTTGTTCCAGAATTTTTTACTCAACTCATGATGACAAACTAACTCGACTTTAATTACAAACTATTGCCGCTGGAATAGCAAGTAAGTTTTACTTAAGCTCATGATTGAAGTCACAATAATTTGATGCAAGCTAACTTGACCTTGAATACATCATGCTGATTAGAATGGCGAATTCTTTAACAGAAATGATATTTTTAGCAACTCTTTGTAGAAATTACAATAATTCTCATACAAAGTTAACTTACTACATTTTTGATTATCAGAATGGCGAATGAGTTTTGTTACAGAATTTCTTGCAGCAACTCATAAGAGGAATTACAATAATTCCAATATAAACTCAACCTTACTATGAGCTATTGCCACTGGAATAGCTTATTTTAGTAGTAGAAGTCAGATAATTCTGATGAAACTAACTTAACATATACTTCGATTACCCGAAACAAGTAATTTTTAAAGTAATGACCGACTTCGCAAAAATTCCCATGACGAAAGCACAGGCAAAGAGCTAATTAGATTTAAATTAAACAATTTTAAATAATTTATGATAAACTTATACTGATTACTAAATATGCATACTTTCTGGGTGTAGAAAAAAAGATAATTTCACCAACAATCATTTCATAGACACTACATTTTACTGACGATTATTCATCGACAAGTTCATTTCACCGACAAGTTTTTTTTTCTAAATTATACTAACTTTAACTCTAATTCTAACCTAACCCTAATGATATTGACCAGAATTACATTGTCTGTAAAATGGGCTTCAGTGAAATAAACTGTTGGTGAAATGAACTTGTTGGTAAGTAATTGTTGGTGAAATGTGGTGTCTACAAAGTGATTGTCGGTGAATTGATCGTATCCCATTTATTATTAGGTCATTTGGTCATTTCAAAAATGAAATGACCAAATGACCAATGACCAATTCATTTGGTCATTGGTCATTTGAAGTGCCAACACTGGTTTGGGCTGTCTCATAGTTTGGACAGCAACTATAGTGTCGACTCAAAATTTCGATACGAATAAGTTGCCTTAAAGTGTTAGAATTAATTTGTTTCTAGACTATTAGTACTGTAGAATGCTATCCAAAATTGTACAATATATGAGATTGCGTACCTTCTATTGGTCCTTATTTATTTATTTAATATATGGGGACGCCCATAACAAAAGCGGGGGATGGGACTATATAATATATAGTCCCATCCTCTGCTTTTGCTATGGGGCATATGAAAACAGAGATCATTTTTGATTCAAAGCTTGGAAACGGTGTTCTTTCGTTTAAAATTTCTAAAGAATTATCCAAGACTATAGATGACAGAGTTCGTATATATTCAAGTATAGATATTCGATATAATCCGACATTCTGTGATTAACTAAGTTTGAAGTCATAGATGTCTCATTTACCTGTTTTGATGGTCTAAAGCGACCTCTGGTTGTCTTTAATGAATTGGGATTTTCATCAAATCCTAAATTATGAATAAATAAATAATAATAACAATAATAATATTATTATTACAATGTAAAAATAAAAGTCCGAATTAGAGCTCTTATCCGGGTCGGGTTGACCCTTACGGGTCAGCTTCTTGACGGGTCACAGGTCATGGATAACATGGATCCAGTATTTCTGACGTAGAAAATGGATGAGGAAATTTTCGATACAAAATCTGAAAAGTTTCGGTTCAAGTATTTGTTATATATTAATATAAACAGCATCAAATTTATAAAATTTTATAAACTCTACTCTTTAAACTCTCGAGAGTAACCTATATAACTATTGACCCAAGTAGTAGCTCTAAAAGGGTCGAAACTTTTATGATTTTTTATATGACCCGTTAACGCAGGAGTTATAATTCGGATCATATATCTAAATCAAATGATGCAATACCATGATTTGCAGCAAATAGTACCTCGGGTCTCGGGTTTCTCACATTCCTAGGAGCAAATCTTGATTAGTACCCGGTGGTTACTTTGTCAGGTGGAGGGTATTTTATGTGTGTAAGGGGATACTTTAAATGCAATAAAGTTAGCCAATCATCATTTAAGTAAACGTTTGGACACTTATGTTTTAGATAATACCCGGGTCTTTTACAATCATGTTTACGAAATATACTTTATTAATCCTAGGTACAAATCGTGAGGGTATACTTAGAGTTAGAACCTGGATACGCTTTTACAATCCGGATATAAATATAATTTAAAAAAAAAAAATGAATCAGGGTTAATCCGTTTGAATCCGGATATATTTTACTGAATTAATTTTATAACTGAGTATAATTTCAATCCGAATTTAATTTATAGAAAAAAAAAAATCGTAATTTAAAACACCTTTAGTATTATGTATTTGACATAGTGCTCGGCAAAATCAAACAAAATTTTGACAAAATACTATATATTCAGTTTTGGTTAACTTGCGATCGTTTGATGTCCGATTTAGTCACAAGTAGAGGTCTGATCCGGTCAAAAAATAAGTATTCGAATAATCATTTGTTCAATCTTTTTAATATCCGAATATTAATCAGCAAATAGTGTTACAAATCGAAAGTTGAAAAAATCGATTAGTTGGTTGGTTGACAACTAGTCGATTGAATTTTTTTAGATATCAACTAATCGATTAATCAATTAATTTACTAATCTATTAGTTGCAACTAATCAATTAAAGAATTAATTGCTGATCGATTGAAAAATATTTAATTCTTTAATTAATTAGTTGCACTTAATCGATCAATCGATTAGTTATAACTTACAATTAATCGAAAAATCGATTAATCGATTAATTGCAATTTAGAGTTATTGATTCGGAACAATAATTAATTACAGTAAGAAAATATTATGAAGTTGAATAATTGAGAGTTTAAATACACAAGCTAACAAATAGGGTTGTGGGCACGGAAAAAATTTGGGCATGCCTTAAGCTAAGGCATGCCCTGGGACACCACGCCCACAGCCCTACTAACAAATGAATTTTATACTTACAAGCTACATTAAAAATAAGGATTTATCTTGTTCATCTACTTTCGTTTAATTTGTCGATTATAGTATATGGGCTGTCGCCAATAGAAATAAGGCAGATTGACATAAAAAAAATCAATACCTTAACTTTCACAGCTCATATCAATGAATTTTGAAGCTATCATGTTGATTTAATATTCAAAAGAAAGCTTAGATCGTAAACTTTCTTTTGACTATTAATAATTAAGATAGCCTCAAAATCCATCGAGATATGAGCTGTGAAAGTTAAGGTATTGATTTTTTTAAAAATGTCAATCTGCCTTATTTCTATTGACGGCAGCCCATATATTCATTGAATATTCAATGAATTATTTGGTGAAAAATTTTTATATTCGAATATTCAATTCAGTGAAACAAAATTTACTATTCGTCGGATCAGACCTCTAGTCACAAGTATTTGATTGTCAAATTTTTGTTTGATTGTACCGACATTTAATATAAATTATTTTAAATTATACACCTCACCCCCAAGAAATTTTCCCCACATGTGATGATCATCCCTTTTGTGTAACGTTCAAATGGCGAATCCTATTAATAAATTCGTAAGTTTTTTTTTACTTCTAGCGATGGTTCCTCAATAACTACTTGATAAAATTCGGTAAAAATTTTTTTATTTTAATCCTATAGATTTGTAGAACTGAAATAAAAAAATTTTATTGGATTTTCTTCAATAGATATCGAAAAATCATCGCTAAAATTAAAAAAAAAGCTTAAAATGTTAGTAAAATCGGGTAAAATTTTT